ACCCAGGTAAGAGGGTCCCAGAAGACAAAGCTAATACATTTTCCATTGTGTTTGGAGTGGGAAAGAAACAGGAGAACCAGGAGCTAAAAATGGAGCTGTGAGAGACAGGAGCTAGAAGTCAATGAAAAGACAGTGGGGGATGAGAGGGAGAATTAGGGCATTAGGTGGGGAAAATAACATTCAAGTCCAATAAAGTAGCTATAGCTCTTTTGGGATAAAGCACCAAAATATCAAATCATCTTGGCTAGATACAGAAATAGTTGTTTGAAATCTACTGGATGATCTTGCCGTCACCCCCTTTACTCATAGTGCTGTACCGAATTATTTAGAGCAGAAACTGTCAACATACTTGGAAACCTTCAGCAGCTCTGGTGTGCAAATTTGAGTGATTCCTGTCTGAGGGATTAGCTTGTTAAATTATCACTACATTAAATAAAGCTACAAGCAATTTGTATATGGATGGATGTATTTTTCAAAATCCATCACTTGATGATAGCGTAAGACCACTTTCTGCCATCAAATCCTTCAGGTTGGCTTTCCCAGTCAGACAGCCACAGATATAATTTATTTCTTTCTTGACCTTACACAATGTTTGTCACTTCCTTCCATGTTAGTAGCAGGTAATTTTTTACATGTCAGTATATTGGATTCTTCAACATGTTCTTTGCTTTTGGTGCCAGAGTGATGGCGCAAAGTACAAGAAGCTGTGTACTTCTGTAGGTGGACTAGCAATTTTAAATCAATGAGTCTCCTTGTGATTTTCTTTTCCTCCGCTGTTCACCATTTATCTAAGGCTTTGGGATGCTCTGAAAGTGCTTATGTGCTCTGGCCTAAGGCATACTGTGGCAGGACAGTTCTCTGTAGGCAATTCCTTTGGGAATACCCAGTTAGCACAGATTAGAGGAACCTCCTTGTATAGAATGTGAATTGGAATCCAGGAAGGGCCATTAATTGATCTTCCTTTCATAGTTTTGTTTCAGTTTATGGGGAAACAGTTTAAAACCCTGCACTATTCTTAATTCAGAGAAAGACTATTGGAACCTCCTGTGTAGTTCCATGGATTGCCTTTTGGAGTTGGGCTATAGAAAAGTAATGGAAAAGTTTTGAAAGAATGATTTATCTATTACCAAGAAATTGGCATGGAAATATTTCTGGTCAACTGGTCTGTTTTTAATAGACATTATGAAAAATATGATAGATACTGCATGGGTTTTTTTAATCCCATAAAGTTCTATGTCTATGTAATGACAGCAGTGTGACACATATTCACAGCACTCCTACATTCCTCCCCCACTGCAATTAATTATACAATTTCTTCCCACCCTCACAACACTTGTTCATTCCTTTTCTTAGCTAGCTGCAGAAAAAAAATCTGTGCCAGCACTAGTCTAAATTTGGTCCATCATATTCAAAGAGACTTCGAAGTCTTGAAGGTGTACAAAAAAGGATTCTCTTATGTCAAAGTAGCAGTAGTCTGCCACAGTTGAGGCTGTTAGTTTTAACATAAATATTGAGAAGCAGCCACAACTACTGTTGTGCTCAGTGACAAACATGGTTATGGGTGGAACCTAAGAACTGCATAAATAGGTTGCTGTGGGACAGAAAAAGAAGTTATCTCATTTATCTTAACCAGAATTGCTGTTTGAGTTCTGATTTCTAATTATTTGTGTGTTGATCCAACAGTTTTGGCTTTTACAGCTTGCGTTCAGAAGGGCTGTATGTTAGCAATGTGTATGTTGTTTGCTTTTATTTTTGTCTTACAACATTTTAAATATTTTAGAAATGAGTTTCCCTTTGTTTAGCTAGTGTTAAAGGCATATAGGCATTTAGTGTACAGGGACTGCTTGACTTTTAGAAACCATTCATTTGTAAATAGTTTTTAGTATCAAGGAATAAATATTGTCTAATTTAACACAAGGTGGATGTATCTTAAATCATTCAGATTGGAGAAAACAATTATTTTCTTTTGACTATTTCTAGACTACTGGTAGTTGCTGAATATTGCTGTTGCTTAGTAGTCAACTAACTTTGGAATGCAGAGGATTTAGTTTACTGTGCTTATGCAAAGTAAATTTTATATGTGTGTTATTTCAGCCAGCCATTTTTGTCAAGAATGTATAGATACGAGCTTCATTCTTCACATAAATGCCCTGGGACTGAAACTATGGCTAAATGCTGATGTGGATGCCAACTTGAAAATTAATTAATTAAAAGGGAAATTTCTTTGTATAATGTTGAATGAAATTTTATTTGATCAAAAGCATTTCACTTAGAAAAATTCTAACTCCATTAAAAAAAAGACAATTTAAAAGAGTATGAAAAAGTTTAAATCTGTAAATTTCTAACTTGCTTCTTGAATTCTTCTGAGCTTTTGAGAAGTGCTATTTGCCAAGCTTGATGCAAAGTTATGAATAGTTTTAAATGGATACAAATATATTTTTCCATAATTACTCGTGAAAATTTTAAACCAAAAACTTGGTTTAAGCTCTAACCAAGGCTTCCTTTCATAACAGGAAAAACAAGTAAAGATGCATCAGATAGGTTAGTTATGATTCCAAGTCTGAAGTTGTAAAAAATGAAGCTGTTTCCCTAAATTATAAGATCAAATGAAAATTTTTATATAAATTTTATTTTTTATTTAATTGTGATATTTTAAGTTTTTGTCACATTTGCAACACACAATTTCCTTTGAAGCCTTTGAATAAAAATGTATTTTTGTAAATGGAAGCTGTGAGTCTCATGCATAATTGCTTTCTGTCAGAAGCTGGGATTTAAGCACCACCCCCTCCTACTCTCCCCAACCAGTAACAACAACAAAACCTGAACAGAAAAAAAAAAACCCTCTTCCTTCAGCTTCAAGATAGAAACGTGTATTATGAATTCTTAAATACTTTAAAAAAAATCCCTTACCAGTCGTGCCACTGAAACAAACGAGTGTAATTTTAATGCAACATCATCAGCTAAGCTAAAATGCTCTCAAAGATGAGAATGGAGATACTCCAATGTATTCTTTGAGGTGTCTGTCACATTTTTTTTTCTGATAATTTACTTTTTTTTAAAAAGTGAAATGATACTTTTACCTGATCCCTTGCCTTTTCCATATCAATAGCCATATATTGGAGAATGCAATGTAACATGAAGGTGGTTTCTGGGTGTCTTTTTCCTTTTCTTTTTAATACTCTTGAATCAGGATTTCATCCATATTTCTGCTCTAATGCTAGTGAAGGAAAATGTTTTCCTGTATGAAGGAAACTAGTAATCTCTTTAGTAAAAGCTGAATTATTTTTAATTCAGTAATTTCAAGCATCTATTCTCCTCTGACTTTGTGTTACAAAGCTACAAAGGATTAGAGAATACACTAAGTCTATATTTTCTTACGCAAGATGTCATTTAGTTTGGAATCATCGCAAAACCACTGTATTGGCTGGTTAAGGTTATCTACCAAATCACGCCCCTATGATTTTGCATAGTGGAAAAAGCATTTAAAAAGAAATGGATTTGATTCTGTTTACTTTGCAGAATTACTGCCTTCCCATCTTTTCATTAATTCACTCAAGATAATAATTGAATATCATTTCTGTACTATTTGAAAATTTGACTGGGATTTATGCACTGAATTTCTGTGCTAAAACTGTCAGTCTTGGGGTCATAAAGACTCAGTATATTAGTAGATTTAAAGTGGGAAAATTGCTACATCTAGAGGAGTTTTAAGGTTTTTTTGGAGTTTTTAAGTTTATATAAATAATTAATAAGATTATGAGATTGAGAACAGATCAGAATTACCATTAAATAAAAGCAGAGCTGTAAAGGAGTAGTCTACATTTGTATGCTCTTAACTGAGTGTGTGACTAATAAAATGTAAATATTAAGAGAATTAAGATCTGCATGTTAATTACAACACTGCTATTTAATGATAGAACAGATTCAAAGTGTCTAACTGTACAGAATTCTACCACTGGCAATATTTTTTCCATTTGAAATAACTGATAAAACATATTATTTCAAAAGGTTATTTTCTTAAGGTTTTGCTTTTTTTCAGGTATTTTAAATTATTGTCACAAATCGACAGCTTTTAGAAGTAATTGTGCTAAACATGAAGGTAGTAGCAAATGAAAGGAAAAGCCTCCCATACTGAGTTCATGTGTTGTTTTGTGTGTGTGTGTGTATTTTTTTTTTGTGTGGTGGTTTTTTTTGGTGTGCGTGATTTGTTGTTTTTGTTTGTGTGTGTGTTGGGGTTTTTTTTGATCTGTGTTTTTCTTGTTTGGTAGTTGTTTTTTTTTTTAGTGTAGGGTTTTTTTCTTGTTAGAATGTGGAGTTGCAGAATGGCCATTATTGCAAAAAAGTTTGGTGCCATGCATTTAAGTCCTATAATTCCTGTAATTAAATGTCTTCTGGAACAGACTGTGTGGGTATTCAGGAGTTCATATTTCCATAAATTCAGTATACTGTGTAGGCAGAGAGTAGAAGGAAAAAAAAATAAGAAGCAAGCCAAATTGTCAGAAAGAAAATTAATCTGAAATGAAGATAATAAACCATAGTAATTTAGGATAATTGTCTGTTCCAACTGCAACATGGGCAAAGTCCTTTTTTGGTTTGTTTCATGTTGAATAAGGAGTGCAAGATTTACCTCTTGAAGAGAGAAGGGCCCCTGTACTCAGATGTAGCACAAATATTTTGGGGCGAGTCACTAGGTTTTGAAAAGCCTTAAAGTGTGAAAGAACAGTAAGATTAAAATAGGAATGTTGTTATTCACTGTGCGATTAATTATTTCAAATACATTTTACTTTGTCACATCTATTGATTACAGTCTGTCTATAGGTTTATATATTTGGGTACTGTGAAGTTGTTGGTGCCTTTCTGTATAACTCAATAAAATTATTTTTTCTGTTGAAGGTACTTTTTTTGTTGAATTCAGTTCTTTCTGTTGAATCTCCTTTGCTTGCATCTGACCTTTATTTATGTTGATTTTGCTTCATTTTTTCATTTACCATGCTGTTCAGTTTTTGGATGCCAGGAGAACAAAGGTTTGTCCACTATTTGCAGTCAATTTATTTTTCAAAATTCAGTATTGCTTATTGTGTTTTTTGTTTGCTTGTTAGAGATACAGTAATCCTGTTTACTAAACACATTCATAGCTTTAGTTGCCAAAAGAAAAACAACCAACCAACCAGCCCCAACTCAGCCCCTCCCCAAAGCCCCCTTCAATTATAGTGAGTGCTTTGATTAACTTTATAAACAACAGTACTGTTGAGCACCATGAAGGGCAGAATTACCTTTAGTCTATGAAGTAATTTAGAAAACATGGAATACTGAGTCTTTCAGCTTTATAGGTACATATTGACTGTACTAATGGATGTGTCACTGCCTAGTCTTTGGGTTTGTTCGTTTACCTTTCTTTGCTATTTATTTTATCTGTAGCTGACACTATTTTTTGTGTTGTCTTTTTTTTTCTAGAAGCACTTGAAAGATATCATTACCAATAGTCATATGCATTTGCTGCTTTATAAGGTCATTTGATATACTTTCATCATTGATTCTAATGAATTTTTGTAACAGCGTACAACAAAAGTTTAATCAAAGACTAATGCTACAGTCAGATCCTAAATTTATTTTTTTGTCTGTCTTTTCTTCTTTTCTTTATTGCAGCATCTGCAAATGACAATCCAGGCGCTTCAAGATGAGCTTAGAACCCAGAGAGACCTTAATCATCTTCTCCAGCAAGAAAGTGGAAACCGAGGGGCTGAGCATTTTACTATTGAGCTCACAGAGGAAAATTTTCGAAGACTTCAAGCAGAACATGATAGACAAGCTAAAGAGCTTTTCCTATTGAGAAAAACACTAGAAGAAATGGAGCTTAGGATTGAAACACAAAAGCAAACACTAAATGCCAGAGATGAATCAATAAAAAAGCTTCTGGAAATGTTGCAAAGTAAGGGTTTGCCTTCTAAAGGAATGGAAGATGACAATGAGAGAACTCGAAGGATGGCAGAGGCTGAATCTCAGGTTAATCATTTAGAAGTGATTTTAGATCAGAAGGAGAAGGAAAACATGCATCTTAGAGAGGTAAGGAAAAGCACATTTTTTTTGTTTAAAAGATATTGTCAAAGTACTTGCTGTTTTAGAAATACTCTTTAGAGTATCTAAGAGTTTTCTTTTTCTGCTCTCATTTTTTCTTAAAACAAACAAAACCCACAAAGAAATACACAAACCAAACCATGCATTTGTTTTACATCGGTAATAAATATACAGCAGGACATTTGAAAGTAAGTATAACAAATTATGGAAGAAAAGTAACTTTATTTGGGGCTTGTTGTCTCTGACATTGCTTTGTATAGTTTCTGTATTCTGTTTTCTTTGTATTTTGACAAATCAGTGTTTGGCAAATGAAGACTAGAACTACTGAAGAAGGAATTAACACCTGCTGCTGTAAACAAAATAGTCATGAATGCATGATACTTTTGATTTTTTTTATACCCCTTGTGTTTGAAGTAGGTGTTTTAAAATGTTTTGCCTTTCATATAAACAAAGGCTTATGCCTATGTGTATTTCTAATGTATTTTCATGTGTGCTGCAACTTTTTGGGTAAATATACCACATAATGTTGCCGCATTAAAACACTGGGGTGATGACTGCACTGTACTTTGAGAGATTCTTAATTTGATTCCAATCCCACCTGCACCAGCTGCCCACATCACTTGTGAACGCATTTTTGGGACTGGATTTGGGATAATTGAATTAGTACAGTTGAAAGGAAATCTGGCCTGGTGTCAAGCCCATCTGCCCCTCTACATTCCAGCAGCCCGTCAGCATTATCATGTGACTGGTGTCAGGCAAACAAGACAGTGAAAGACCCTGTTGCTTCCTGCTAAGAATGGTGAAAATTGCAGGGAGATCAAGTACAAGGTACCCACGTTAAGAGAAATCAGAACAAACAGGTCTGTTTCCTTAAACTTGGCAACGGTGTAGTCTGATTTAACTTCCAGTCTAGTGAAAACACCAATTTGCCTGGGAAATCAAAGCATGGATCAGAATAGTACAAAAGCATAGAAAACTATTATTGGCTCCTGTATATCCCTAAACATATGAATGCTAGAGATTAAGAACAGCTATTTACATCTATGGATGTTGTCGAAATGTTTTCTTTGCTACTGACAATTTCTTTTATATTTAGCTTATGGCTACTTTAGTTTTCTTTTTTTTTCTCCTTTTTTTTTGTGTGTTTTCTCTAACCTAGAATATGTATTGAGGACTCAGTGGTACCTGGGGCCTATCTGAAGCTTGGAAACTGGAAAATTTGCAAGGCACAATGATACATTTCAGTAAAGGTTTTTTTTTTTTTTTTTGGTGACAGTATGGATCCTGAATATTTTCACAGGCAGAATTTTAATTAAAAAGTAATTCCACCCATTAATGAAGTCTGAAAGTCAATGGATTCTGAAAGAAGTTGCATAAGGAATTAACAATACTGAGTCTTTGATGAGGGAGGATTGTGGGAGAAGTTCTATAAACTAGCAGACAGGTTTCTGGATTTAATCTGCTATTCTCATAGTACGTACAGTCTGCTTCAGATGGATGATTTGCTATTTATTATTTGTTTTGTTATGTGATTGTTTGTATTTCACCTGTTGTACCAGTATGATTGAGTTTGTGAATCCTAATTTGGGTATGTATTGGACTTGAATAAATTTACAGCAGAAATTTGAAGAAAGTTTCTAATTAGCACAGTACTTGAGAGCAGTGAGAGAAATAGAACTAGAGGATGGAAAGTAGATAAAACATAAGCTTCCAAGTAAAGTCCATGGGCATCCAATTAATTGATTAGTCTAAGAAATGCTGAAAGGAGATCATATTGCTGCTTGTAGACTGTGCATGTTTCTCCTATATTTATACAGAATTAGTTTTATGTTTCAGAGTTCCCCCTGGATTACCCTCAGGGAGGCCAGGAAAAAAATGTTTCTCCCTTAATGTATATGAGGATATAGAAGTTGTCTTTCCTCTGGGCTACTGCAAGTATAGAATGGAGTTTACTGGAGTTTCTGCTTAGACATGCTGATATGCCTTGGTAACTAGTCAAGGTTTAAAAATTCACTAGGTTTGCTGTCTGGAATCTGCCCATGTCAGATTGGCAGGAACTATCTAGTAATTTGTAGATTTTGGCTAACAATTTCCTTGCTATTATGAGAATTCAAAGTTTTGGGTGAAGTCTGTGTCTCTGGCTCTTTTCTTTTTGCACATGGTATTTATGGGTTTTGAGTTTTTTATTTGCCTGCAGATTTCAAGATTTTGTAGGGAGCTTGGAAGTGTGATGTGTAGGGTGTATGAACTCCTTAAACCTAAATGTTTAGTAGGTGCCTGCTTGTTTTTCCAGGAATCTGGATTTGATTGTTCAAGTGAGCTCTTGGAATATGTTCTGATGTTCAAATTTTTACTTTTGCTGCCTTGTTATGGGAAGTTGTCTGCATGCTTTGAGGGAATATCAGATATTCTGTATAGTTTTATCTATTTGTTAGAAGTCCAAATGGATCAACTTCTGATCTTCACGTGTAGCTTGGTAAGTCCTTGCAGTGCTTATTTGAATTGCTGTCACTGCATGTAGTCTTCATCCTCCACAATACAGTTTGCCAACATGATAAAAGAGAAATTACCATGTTGAATCATCTGCAGTAGTCTCCTCAGTGGATTGATTTTTTTTTAACCAGTGTTTGTAAGTTTTCATCCTAACTGTGTAAATGACCTTGCTGAGTTACTGGATATTTTTTTCTCTATGCTTTAAAAGTAAACTGGAACTTGGATACATTTTTAATGAATTCAATTCATGGGTTATTTAGTATTCACTCAAATTGTGTCAGTCTTTCTATATCTTTAACAAAATCTTTGTCATTTTAGAACTTAATCTAAAATATTCTGCTTTCTGTATTTTTCCAGGTTAGAGTATAGAGCTTATGTGTTGACTATATTTCTGAGAAACTAATATATTGTCATGTGTAACATACTGTTTGATCAAATCCTGAACACTTGTTTCTGGTTTTTAATTAGTTTTTCCATTTGACTTTCTGACACTGCACTTGAAACAAGTTAAGGAAGATAAACTTCGTTGTAGTAGCAAATTAAGTTATTCAATGAACAGAGTTTTCTAGTGTGTCAATTTGCCCTTACAATGATAGATGGTCAATGCAGTCTCCAGCAGAAAGAGCGCTATCTATGAAAAAAGCTGAACATGGTGGAAATGAGATTAAATGTGGAAAAAATAACTGAAGACTACTGATTTTCTGCAGCTTCAATGCTATATTAAAAAACTTACATAGATCAACTTCTCATAAGCTATGCTGTTGGTATTTACTTTAAAAATACTTTCAATCTGAAGTTTCTCAGTTCTTGAAATGTAATTGTGTACCATTGTGTTACCTTTTAAATCTTAGCTGGAGAAAGGACAAGTCTTTTATGTATTTTGTTGAGCTTTTGAACATGTTTTCCACAAACACAACCATATTTTTCTCCCTTATGCTGTTCCTTTCTTAGTTCTTTCAAATAGTGCCAAAGCTGGAATCTGTCTTCTCTCTTGTTCATTCACAGTCTTTTAGATCTCTCAACATGGTGGAATAGAAAGCTAATGGATGAGAAGAAATTGATTTTGTTGTTAATAATCACTGGTGGGTGGAATTTTTATCAAATCAGAGAATTAAACTAACATGCTATGAGAGAAACTGAACCAACTGGTCATGAAACATTGGCAATTAAGGACACCCTCTTCTACACACTCATGTCTCCAATGGTTGTCAATTTTATCTCCTGAACATGCATGCCTCTGAGCTCTGATCGTACTAGGAATTGAATAGTAAGGGATATGTTCTTTGTTATTCCGGTCCTGCTTTTGTCTAGCTAGTAATTTTTTCAAAGTTGACTTATCTAGGTAGAGAGAAATAACTTTCTTCTTGTCCTTCAGTCTCTACCACTTTCTTAAGCCATTGATTTTTTTTCTTTTGTTGCTGTAGCAGAATTTCACAATATAACTGCCTTCAAGGATCAGGAATTTCTCCAGACCTTAGATTATATTTCTGGGAGATATACAGGTAAGCAACATACAAAGAGCTAGTGTACCAGAGGCACAGGAATAACTCTGGAAAGTAAAACAACCCTTTTTTTTTTTTTTCTTTGCTTTTATATTTTTAGCAGTTTTGGACTGACTTTGGCATATTAACCACCTGGCCCTCAAAGATTGTACCTTTCTCCAGTGTACAGTCTACTACATCTTTAAACTTTGTTTCAAGGAGTATAACTTATGATGATAGGTTTACTCAAGTTTTGTGTTTGATGGTCTTAGGAATGGCAAATTTGAGGCTTATTGTACAGGAGGGGGAGGAGGACACTTCAGTTGAAGTTGGATTCCTGCTCTTCTACAGGAATAGCAAAGAATGGCAGTGTCAGTAGGGTTCATTAAAATGTTGGGAAATAAGCTATGCAAAAAATGTGATTAGACTTCTTTCCATGTATTAAGGAATTTAAAACATAGACAATAAGCTTTCACAAGGATAGTTAGATTCCCAGCTTTGTGATAGTTACAACAAAAATTTCCTTAGTTGCTGATTCACAAAGCAAGTAAAAAAAAAAAAAAAAACAAACCACCTCTGAATAGCAATAAGTGTGAGTATGTTTCTGCTTTGGTTTTGGAGATGTAGCCTGTTGAGGAGAGAAGGTTGAGCTCTTTTCCATGGTTTCTGAGAACTACTGCCCAGTTTGCACTCAGTTTTCCATTACTGAGTTAGCCTGAATTCTGTGTCTGTAACTAACTAACCTCACTCAAATATTTTTCTTAATGTTTTTCAAAGGTAGCTAAATCTTATTGATATTTTCTGAGACAAAATGAAATAGCATTTGCTTTGATAAGGGAATAATGTATCCCGTATTCTTTGCAAATACACACACACACACACACACACATAAGAAAAAGGACATTTTTGGGCTGGGCAGTTTCCCTGTAAGTATGTTAATGGTTGAAAATCTGTCTTGAAGCCATAATGTCATACCATGGCATTCTTCATGTTCAGAATTAAATATCATGAAGA